TAGTATATAAGTAGTATAGTATATGTTAATCTGGATGATCTTCAATTAACATATATGAGGTTATAGATCAGTATAATTGTAATAGTAGTGCAGGATAGAAGATATCAGATAGTTTAAATAAATAATCTTCTAGTTAGATTACAGATACAGCATATAGTGTGGAATCTTAACAGCATCAAGGTGTAAGATAAATTTTTTGATCACATGATTATTAGTTAATAAAGAATCACAATTTAGTATAATCCTTTCTTTTTCTTTGAACCAATTCTTTTCTTATTTTTCTAGTCATTTATATACGCACATCTTGGCTTCTAAATGTTTTCATAAAAATAATTCCAAGCTGAATTGATTACTATATTTATGTAACTTTTAAGTTCTTTCAAACTTCTCACCATTTTAAGAATTCTTTTCACAACATCTTCTTTAATTAAACCTTTAAGTATACCAGCCTTAATTTTGTTCTTTTCTTCTTCTGATGAACTCTATAAAGTCCTTCTGAGTTGTATTTTGTTGAGGTGACTGTGAGTTTCTTCTGATAGAGCTGTCCAGACCAAATTTAAAGCTAGTTGCTCTGCATCTTTCCATTTACTTTTGTACTTCTTACATATCATTAAGTATTTTTGATCTTCTTCTTTACTATTTTTATATATTATATATGTTGAACTATCATATAATTCTGGTTTTCTGAATGATAATGTTTTCAGTACTGGTAGTTTCTCATGCAAGCATTTGACTAGCACACCCAGATGCTTATTTTTCCTTAAACTTATATATCATGTACTACTCTGATTTTTAATCTTTTTTCATAAAATGGGCCAGTATCAGGTTTGTATACTGTCTTTGGGTTTTAATTTCTTTATATTTAAACAATTAGTATAATTTAATTTTAAATTAGTTTAGTAGCAACAAATATACTATATAAATATACTATATATAGGAACCTTTACAGCAAAAGGTGACAATAAGCCAAAAAAATTTTTTTCTTAAAAATATAATTTTTTAAAGAATTAAAGTATTAGGCATATAATTTTTACAAAATTACAGAATAAAAATTTTGGCCCATTGCCACCTTTTGCTGTGGAGGTTCTTATATATCTCAAAAAATATCAATAATACTTTAAAACTATATTTAATATCTATTCTTTCTACAATTTGATAAAATTTTTATTATATAGTTTGTAGTTTTTACTATTTAGAATAGAGACTAGATTATCTAGTAGTATGTAATTTTTATAAACTTTTTACAAACTTATAATTGTGATATTAAGATATACAAAATTTTTTTTTAGTTTTATTTTTAATATCTTTTTTTCTTGTTTATATATTTTATTATAGCCTCTATATCTCTGTTTTGTTTTTGCTAGTGCTTATTTTTTTTTTTTTTGTATTTTAATATAAGTAGCTAGCTTCAGCTAATAATTAGAGAAACTAAATTCTCAGAAAATTGTGGATCTAATATAAAGCAAATTGGCTGCTTAAGTAAATAACATCTGGGTTTTAATGCTAAGTAAATTTTTATTATAAAAAAAAAATTACTACTCTGCTTATTATATAAATTTCTAATACTTCTAATTAAATAATAAAAGCAGAATCGCTGAATTAAAAAAAATAAATATTAATAAATATAAATTAAGGTCTAAATTTTTTTTGTTAAAGTTTTAAGCTATTATATATATTAAAAAAATGAACTATATATTTAGTATATTAATAGATAAAGTATGCAACAAAAAACTAAGGTTAAAATTTATTAAACAATAGTATAAATTTGTTACAACTAGATAATATAATTTATATAAATAATCAATAATTTTTTTTACATTTACTACCAAGTTTGGATATTAATATCAGAATAAATTATGTATTAATAATTATGTTGATTGTGTTTTTGTACAAATTGATCAAAAGTAAGTATACAAAATTTATTTTTAATTAATAAAAACTGTATTTATAGCTACTATTAAAATTGGTATACCTTTTAATAAAAGTTTAAAGAATATGGGGTGAGTTAGTAGAAACGCACCAAATCTTTTTTAAAGAAATTTTTTTAAATCTTTAAACAAAAATAACTCAACAAAAGCTTAACTAAATTTAATACAATTTTTTAAAATAAATTCTACAAGTATATAGAATTAATTTTAAAAAAAAATTATTAAATTTGCTTAAATTATTGTTGAGTTATTTTTGTTCAAAGATTTAAAAAAATTTATTTAGAAAAAATTTGGTGCGTTTCTACTGACTCACCCCATATATCAGTTATAATATAGAGACTACAACTATATAAAACTTGGTAAAGAATAATAATATTGAATATATGACTTAACAAAGAGAGTTTAGAAGTTTTTATTAAAAGAGACAACAAATAGATATATATGAAGATACAAATAGTTATATAAAAGTTTATTTAGGTAAGAAGTATTAAATATAAATTAGTTCATAATAATCATATGATTATGGTTGTTAATTCACTTAATAATAGTTTGAAATTTAACATATATGAAGATACAGGTAACTTTATTTCATAAATAGAATAAATACAATAATAATGATTTTATAAATATAAAGAGAAAGTTGAGATCTAATTCTCTACAAAGGCAAAGGTGAAATCTTCATACATGTTTTCTTTACATATGATATTAATCTTATCTATTGCTAACCTAAGAAATGCAATGCGAAAGGAGTATAAGATAAGTAAAATAGCATGACGCGACATGAGAGTACTCATGTGGGATCTGAGAGATCAATGATCGATCCTTGAATATCTTCACGTCGTATTCAAAATCAGGTAACATTGAATATTCGTGAAGGTGAGTGGCGTTCGACAAAATCCCACGTAACACCGGCATAAAATCTAAGCTCCGAGTCACCCAATTCTCTACAAGAACATTATCGGGTCACAAACTAATAACCGAGTAACCTGGGTAATTCGTTTGACAATTTTCATGTAAGAATTGACCAATCTACAGTATATCGATACTACAGTACAGTGATATTCTTTAAAAAAGTATTAGATGTGATAAATAAATTATTTTGAACCGATTATAATGAAAAAGAGATTAAAAAAGGTGATTTAGCAACAATATATTATACACACTGGATAAAATAGTTGGATAAATATTGCACTCAAAAATATTAATAAATCATGTGATAATGTTATATATTAAAAATATTGACGTGATGAATACACGAAAAAAGGATCATTGCATCAGAAACTTGAACTAGTATCAAAGATGAGTTGGAAAAATAAATTGAATGTTTTGTATTGAATAGTCGGGGTTGGCTCATACAAATTCGAAAACAAAATTACTGTAGTCGCTAACTAACTGATTTGATTGACCAATAGTCACATTTAGATCCATTTAGATCTACATAAGAGAAAATAGATCCAGTGGGATTTCTCACTGGAACCATTGGAACTCTGGAAGAATCTGGACGTCCAATGGGGTTCCAGCCTTCCAGTGGCAACCCATTAGCGCAATATTGGTAAGCATATTATCTATTGAATAGATATTGTGCCAAACAATATAAAGAACGTGTAAATCAACTTTTCAAGAAAGTTGCCGGTAATAATGAACATAATGAACAGTATCAAGATATTTTTTTGCAGCTTAAGCTGGGATTTTAACTATTTTAATATGGTGCGAGCCATCTAAAGAAAATTCAAAATCGCTAAGAACCTTGCTGTGACTCAATCTGCAAAACAAAATTGTTTTAGATTAGATCTATAAAGTTATGAAATTTTTTTGTTTCATGAATTTTTGTTTATTCATCGGGAATAATTCATTGGTAAAACATATATTATTTATTTCTTGGTACGCTGGTACGACAGAAATAATGAAATGTTTCTCCGCATTTCTCAGCTCCAATAAAAGCTGAAGAAAAAAAATCCGGGAAAATAATTGACTATTATTCCCCCGTAACGGGAAATGAATGCATTATTCTCCCGTTTTACTAATTGACGTCGGAGGCTATTCCCCGCTGAGTTTAAAATTAAGTAATTGCCATAAGTTTTCCAAAAACAATTATAGAATGTGGCACTGTGGCTTATGAAACTATCATTACTAAATTTTACAATTTTACAACAAAATGGCAGATTTTGACGCGTCTTATTATATGTATAAAGTTTTATTGGTAGGTTAGTGATAATATGATTAATAAGAGTATATGTGAACATTAGTACGTAGACATTATTACAGCACCGGACAACAAAAAAATCCAATACATTTTTATAAAAGTATATATTATAAAACAATTTAGTCAAAAAAAAATTTTTAGATTTTGTTTATACTGCAATTCTACTAAAATAGGATTTATAATTTGAAAAGTTATTGCAGTTAAAGTTTATTCAGCTTAAAGTTTATATGTAACTGGAAAATTTAACGCCTTAATTAACTAATAAAACTAATTATGCCAAAACCAATCAATCATAATTGATTATGTAATTTTAAACTTTGGTACGTACGTACGTACCCAGTAAAAAATATTGGGTTTTTTCGCTGTCTTATGTATGTCATCTGGCACCACAGAAGAATGTTCCTATTTGTTCAGTTGTGCATTACTAAAATGGCTAAATTGGATCTGAAGAACTTTCTGAAGATAAATCAGTTTAAAAATTGTTAAAAATTAAATCCAATTAAAAAATCATTAAAAAATCATGGATTTTATTTTATTTTCATGTTCTGCGATTTAATTTGTGGATTGTCCTAAACCTAGTGTTAAAGCTCTGAAGAATTGGTAAATTCCGCTTATTACTACTGGTCATTGGGATGAAATTTTTTTGCCTTATTAATTGACACAAAATTCGGCGTGGCATGTAACACTAAAATTGACATATCCAATGAAATTATGCAAAATTTGCACGTTATAACACAAATTCTTAAAGTTGAACTAATTCATGCGTCTAATTATTATAACGTGCAAAGATGCAAAGTGACACGTGCAGAACTCAGTTTTTGTTTCTAAGAATCTTCGACTTAAATTTTTTTTTTCCTTCTTTTAATGAAATGTCCACACCGTCGAAATTGGATACATCTTGCCCACCACTTTCAACGCTAAAGTTGCCTAGGTTACTGGCATCGGTTCCACCGACTTCGAAACATACCGAGATTTCAGCACCACCTACTTTGCCACATAACACATCAGCGTTTTCCACTATGAATAATGTTAACGATTCTTATCAACAAGATATGCCCAATACAGAAACAACAGTGAAACCCTTACCAAATAAACGTGGACGGAAGCCCTTGACCACAATGCCGTCTGCTAAAAAACATTATCAAAACTTAAAAAATCAAAGAGCATTTCGACAGCGTCGAGCAAATTATGTTCAAGAGCTTGAAGAAAAGGCCACAACATTTGAAAAGTTATATAATGATGTTCTAAAGGAAAATAAAATTTTAAAAGAAAAATTGAGGTCACTGAAACGACAATATTCAACCGATTGTGAAGAAAATGAAGATTGTGAAGAAAATGATGGATGCGACAGCGAACAAAAGTGCAAAAAGGCACCAGCTAATAAAAAAGGCACAAATTCATCTTGCAAAGTAGTCAAACGCATGGATGATGATGATGATGTCGCGTCATGTGACGAAAATTCGACAATACAGTCACCCAGAGCGTGTGTACAAACGTCATGCCATAAACCAAATAGTGTATCATATGATCCTTCAACAAACCAAAAGTTACCTTCATTAACCCCGGACACCTTACCATCTATTAATTTTAATAGGCAACCTAAACATCAGCAAGTTGAAAGTCACCCATCTTTATCAATCGAAGACATAATAATGAAAGAGCCTCTTTTCTGTACCACAGAAGAAGGAGACCTTTGTTTTTGTGATCCTTCTCATAATTCACCAAATCATGATTGTAAAAAATTGATAGTTCCTCAACAATTTGTAGCACAGTATACAAATTCAATTTACTCTACACTTCCCAAGAGTCCATTAAACAGCTCTAGTGAATGGCAGCAGGAAGATATCTATTATGCACAATCACCATCACCTACTTCTACCACCTCATTAGCGACTGATGAGAGTACTTTGCCTCGAAACCATCCTTTGAATTTGAATTGGATATTAGATACACCGGAGGAGGATACAAGTTGAACCGCTAAAATGTAACCAAATATATTCGCGTTGGACATAAAATTAAAAAAATATGTACATTTTTTTGATTAAAATTCTTCCATCTTTTTTAAGCAACTTTTTTTATAAAAAAAAAAAAAAAAATTTTACATTCGGGTTAACAATTCGGGTTAAAATAGATAAATATATTTATGTTAAATGTATTTATGTGGAAAGGAACATATGTGTACGTGAGAACATAGACTTATTTATTTTTTTTCAAACCTTTGCCTTTTTGTACATTGTTTTTACATTGTTTAGTTTAATATTATTCCACACACGATATTACAACACGATATTACAACATTGATGACATATCACATAATGATATAATGATAATAAGATTAAATCCACCCAATAATCTACACATAATGTGTATATATATAATGTATATGTATATTTGAGTGTTACGACAAACATTTTTTTTTTTTTTGCCAAAAAACCTTCTTTTTCGTTTTTCTTGTATAATAATTATTTTTCGTCAAGGTTGAAAAAAAAAAAAACCATTAAATAATCACTAATTGACACGGATAAAATAAATATGCTTTATAAGTTCTTTGCGATTTCGTATAGAAATTAAATATCATGTGACTAATCTATATATGTCGAAATTGAACATCTTTTCGATAGCTTTTGACATCTTTTTTTGACATCTTTTGATATCTTTTGACATTTTTGACATTTTAATTTGCTAACTAATTTAATTAAAATCTATAAATTTATACATAAACCAGTCCAATCCACATATAGTTATACCCCTTGGAGTACAAAATTAGTGATCGATGCATTCCTACGCGTTATTTGGCCAACCCACTCATGCGCGTTATTTTGAACCTGATGTGATTTAAGTGGATTTGGAATTTCTTAGAATTTTAGGGTGAGGGTATAGGATTTATATAAAAATAAACACCCTGAAATGCTAATTTAACTAAGAAATCTTAAATCCCGTTTCCACTTAACAACATATATATTATACAAAGTTGAGACTAAAATACTGTATTTATGTTTTTAAAGACGCAATTTTTTAAATAACGCTCACGAGCGCTATTTCGCGACTATACAATTGAACAAAAAGTAAATTTCACTATCACTAAACTAATTAACTCCTGACCTCTAGTTAGACAATTATTTCTCTAATTTTTTACGTAATAAGCAATAACAATAATTACTAAAAGAGTCGCGATTTATTCAAAACGTAAATTAATGTCAAAAATTGCTATTATTGCTATGTTTCGTAAATATTTATTCATTTTATGAACTATTTTTTGGCGTTTATTAATTCTTAAATGAGTATAAACACGATTACATATTAACTGTTAAGTAGAGATTTAAAATTAATCTCCATCGCTAGCATTTGTTTTAGATCGGATTAAATTTTGTCGAATGTGAAGAATCAAAATACCTTCTAGCCACTGTGGCATCACCTTGGTACACATTTTCCGGATATTGCAAGATCGTAATCTCAGTACCAATTTCACCAGTTTTCGTCAATCCGAAACTTTAAATTTCGCGTTTCATCAGCCTGAAACTTTATGTTTCGCGTTTCATCAGCTCGAAACTTTAAGTTTCGTCTAAAACTATACTATCCCTAATTTGGTATATAGTAATTCTTTTGATAAAGTTTATGAAATAAAATGGCTAGAACAGAAAAAAAAAAAAATTGCACCCACCATAAGTTTTTCCGAACTGAGATTCCTCTTTGTTCTACAATATAATATCACGCAATTTATTTTTTATAATACCACTACATCAAGATCATACCCCACCTTCGAACTATTATTTTAAAATACCAATTCTTGCAAATTGCAAACGCTATCAAAATTATAAAATTGTTTATTTGTAATTTAATTATAGGCATTAAATTTTTTGAAATTTGTAAAGTCTTTGATGCATCGAAATTCTGGTACTTTTTCTGTTATTTTAACGAAACAAAAAAATAAATATTTCATACCTAAAATTTTTTTGATTATAAACTATAAATCCGATAAATTTGCTCAAATAAGTGGTTTTTTCTTTGGCAATATAAGAACAATTCATACTTTTTCAAACTTTTTCGGTCAATTTATTTATCATCAAATATCAAATTTTCAAAGACAAATTAAAGTTTGGTGCCAAAGCTCAATAGGGATTAAAATTTTAATCAAAAGTTATAATTTACACCAAACTCTAATTCGATAATTGTTATTCATCAATAAGAAATTTCATAACAACGTTTAGAATTTCCTTTGTGAAAACAAAAATGTCTCAAAGAATATAAAGAATATTTTTGGTTAGAAGGCCAAAAACAAGGAAATAAATGCTTTAGTTTCAATTTTTTGGTTAAACATTTATCTGACATTTTTTAAATGTTGAAGACGATAAATAAATTAATTAATTAAGAAATATCCATTCACCAACACTATTTTTCTATCTTATTCGTTTTGAGAGAATCTATGGGTTACTGACATCATTATCATCAATGCAATACATCTTAATAAACTGTGTAGCAGCATTTGTAAATGTATTAAGTTTCATAGATTTTCTAATATTCTTAAAGAATTGCAAATAATGGAATAAATTGTGACTATTAAATAGAAAATAAAACATATTTGTTAAAACATATTTTTTTACAAGGTTGCAAATAAAATCATTTAATTAAATATATGAATTTTACAAACCTCATTAATAATACGGTAGCAAGCATTTCATGAGTTTTTAATAAATGATGAATATATGCTCTTGTATGATTCTGGCATGCATGGCATTTACATCCATCTACAATTGGTTTAAAATCTGTTCGATATTTATCATTCCAAAGATCTATGAATTTTTCTTGTCCATTTCGAATCCCATCTTCAATTAACCAAAACGTAAGCGCATGTCCTAAAGATGTCATATCTGATGGATAACTTGTATTAAATATATCAATTCCCTCGAAAATGCCAAGAAGAACATATTCTAAAAGAAATCAAAATAATTTAATGAATTATGTACTATAATGAATTTGAAATATTGTATTAATAATGGTCAAACCTGGAGCTCCGAGACCACATGCTACACGAGGCTTATTTTTGGGTAAGTGTTTGAGCGAAACTTTCATTAAATCCAAACGTTCTTTTGATGTCATATCTAGATCAAACCCATTTAACACAAAGCCTATATATATATCGGAAAGAATATTAATGATATACAAAAAATATTATTATTATTATTATTAATTAATTGATAT